GTTTTCTTGTGGCTGCTGTTTGCATGATTTATCTTTTTCCATCCTTTCACTTTTAACTTATTTGTACCTTTGAGTATAAAGTGTGTTTCCTGTAGACAGCATATTGATGGATATTGTTTTTACATCCAGGCTTACAATCTCTATCTTAGATTGGATTATTTAATCAATTCACATTTATGTTATTATTGATAAAAGTGGATTTACATCTGCCATATTCCATTTTGCTTTATATGTCTCAAGATTTTTTGTTACCCTTTTGTACTTTACTGCTTCATTTTTTGCATTGAGTATATTTTTTAGTGTAACATTTTTATTCCTTTAGTGTTTTTTGCTATATATTTTTTAGTTATTTTCTTAGTAATTTCTAGTCTTACCATATACGACTTATCAAGATCTACTTCATGATTATATTAACTTAATTCCAGTGTAATATAGATATATTACTTCTATATAGCTCTATTCTCTCTTCTTTTTTTTTACAATTATGGTTATACATCATACATCTATATATGTTAGAAAATATATTGTTATAAGTATTACTTAGCATAATTTTATGTCTATTAAAGAAGCTGAGAAAACAAAGGAAAACAAGTACATGTCCATAGAGTTTCCTATATTGATCTTGTTATTTCCCACTTCTGATTGTCTTCATTTGTTCCTGTGGGTTCAAGTTACCACATGGTCTCATTTACTTAACCCAATACAAGTTTCCTCCCACTCACCTCATCTGTACTGTTATTGTCAGATATATTACATTTCTATATGTTATAGGACCAACAATAAAATGATATAATGTTGCTTTACACAATCACTTTAACAATCAGTTAAAGAAAAAAAGGGAAGGAAATGTGTTTTTAAACAGTCTTTTATAATTATATAGTTATCTTTACTGGTACTCTTTGCGTCTTGTGTGTGTTTGAATTGCTGCCTGAAGTCACTTGCTTTTGCCTTAAAGAACTCTTTTTCATATTTCTTGTAAGGTATGTCTACCAAAAATGGATTCTCTCAGGTCTTGTTCATCTGGGAACATCTTCATTTCACCTTCATTATTTTTTATTGATGTAAATATTACATAACATAATGCACCATTGTAACCATTTTAAACTGTAGAATTCAGTGCCTTTTAGTACATTCACAGTGTTGTGCAGGTATCAACACTATCTAGCTCCAGAATATTTTCATTATCCCAAAAGGAAACCCCAAACCCTTAGGCATTCACTTCCCCATTCTCCCCTCTCTTAGCCCTTGGAAACCATTAACTTGCTTTCTATCTCTATGAGTTTGCTTATTATGGATACTTAATATAAATGTGATCATACAATATGTGGCCTTTTATGTCTGGCTTGTAACTCGCTTATCATGCTTTGCCCAGCCTCATGAAGTTTCACTTTATATGTGTGTGATTTAATATATAGCAACAGACTTAAAGGAAACTCTATGAAGATTTTTAGAGAATGTTTTTCTGCACTAATCCCTGATCTCTGGTACTCTTTCCCACACACTACAGCCACCTCCACCTCACAGAACTCCAATCTTTGTCTTATCAACTCAGGACGGCAAACTTGCTTCTCTTCTCTGTGCCACCATCCATAAGGTCTCTTTACTCAAAATCCAAAGCAATTATAAGGCTCACCTTGATTGTTTCTCTTTTCTCAGGGACCACACTCTTGTGCTGCCCGTTGTCCAGAGTCTGAAAACAGTTGTATTTGTTTGATATATTTGTCCAATTATCTAGTTCTTCGAGGCAGGAGGATATACCTGATCCTAGTTTGTCCATCATTTTTGTCATTTGGTTTATTTTGGCATCTTTTGTACAATTCTAGAACGGCTGGCTTATAGAACCCCTCACCTTGTGTGAAGCCATATTGGAACGGAAACCAACAATTCAGCCTGGTGTCCACCTAACCCACAGGAAAGCTCACCTATGCTTGCCATACCAAAGGTGAGAGTACACTATGTCTCTATCTTCACCCTGCCATCTCTTTTGGATGAACAGAACAGCAGTGATCTAACTGGGGACTGAACACCAGTACCCCCTTCTTGCAGACCTCTCTCTGTATGTGATTCTCCTAGAGTCTCCACTTTTACTTGGTTTAAGAGAGGGAAGAACTGCACTTTTCTTTTCATCCATGAGAAAGGGATAGAATTGACTTTCACCATGTCCCAACCCTGGAATCAGAGTACCTTAGGTAAAATTCTGTCTCCACTGTTTACTGTATGACTTTGGACAAGGTACTAAACCTCTGTACTCCTTAGTTTCCTAATAATAGTACTATGAGTATTAATATATTTAGTATATACAAAGTGCTTAGGAGAGTGCCTGGTACATAAAAAGTATTATATAAGTGATAGGTATTATTGGTGGTGGTGGTGTTGTTGTCATTATAATGAACAACAGTCAACTCCCCACAAGGTCGATGGCTCCCAAAATGCTTTACATTTTACCCTTTCTTGTCTCCTCATACTGACTTGGGGGAGGAAAAGGCTGGGGTGACTTTTGTAGGTAGTAGAGCTGGCTTAGATACCTTTTAGTAAGTTCTTATGAAAGTATCTGGTCCCAATTGTTGGAGTTTCTTTTCTTGAAAAATAATGTCTCTTTGTCCTCACCTATGAGTCCCATCAGCCAATACTAGGGAAACAAGTCAAATCTAATTCAATATCTTACTTTGCTTACATTTGAATGTTTACATTTGTACATTTCAAATGTTACATTTGAAGTTTAGTGTGATAAGTGACTAAATGTGGTCAGTTTCTGTGTTTTCATACCAGCTTTTACTGTAAATGGGGATGTATTCTGTTAAATGTTTAGAAGATCAACTAAAATGTAAAGATGCCCCATCTAGTAGGATTGTTGGAGGATGAAGTAAAATAATGCAGAGTAGTGATATGATCATATATGTTGTTTGAAATCATCATTCTATTGGAAGTTTGCAAGATGTAAAACAAAGAGACCAGTAAATGTTGTTGTAGTGGTCCAGGAGTTTATGGATGCTTGCACTGGAGGAGCGGCAGTGGAGCCAGAGTGGGAACTGGAAGGATTCCCAAGATCCTTAGAAGGTAATCATTGAGACCTGTCATTTATTGGAGCACTTGGTATTTGTCAGTCATGTATTAAATGCCTTATATAAATTATATCATCTAATCATGACAACTTTATGAAGTACTTAGAACTATTAGCCTCATTTAATAGATGAGGCATAGGGGAGTTTTAACACCCAAGTTTTAGATCTAAAGTTATACAACAGGTAAGTAAATGCAATTAATTCAAACTCAGATCTGTTCAAAGCCATGCTACTTACTACAATGCGAAAATCTTCAGCTGGATCCTTCCAGCCATTTGAAAACTGTATGTCCAACCATCTGCATGAAAAGCTGTTCACAGAGGACTCAGGAATTCCCCACCCCACCAACAAATCTTTTGCCTCTATCACAACTAACCATTCTTTAATAGCTAACCATTCTTTAATAGCTATGACAACAATGCTCCACTCTTTTTTTTTTTAAAGATTTTATTTTTTTTCCTTTTTCTCCCCAAAGCCTCCTGGTACATAGTTGTATATTCTTTGTTGTGGCTCCTTCTAGTTGTGGCATGTGGGACATGCTAGTTGTGGCATGTGGGACACTGCCTCAGCGTGGTTTGATGAGCAGTGCCATGTCCGCGCCCAGGATTCGAACCAATGAAACACTGGGCCGCCTGCAGCAGAGCTCGCAAACTTAACCACTCAGCCACGGGGCCAGCCCCAATGCTCCACTCTTTTTAAGATGTCTTCTCTTTCTTTTTTTAAGTATTTTATGGAACCATTTACATTAAACTGGTTAGTGGCAATTTTACATTCATAATGAGCCACAGTCTTCCTAAAAACAAATTTTAAGAACACATCCCTCTTTCTGTTGCATATATTTCAAGGTAACAAATCAACAACAACAAAGCCACTTAGATTAGTACCAAAATCCTTAGCAACAAAAAGTTTAGTGTGATAAGTGACTAAATGTGGTCAGTTTCTGTTTAGTGCTTCTAATACCCCAGTGTGTCTGAATAAGGTCTAAGGAAACATAAATAAGATGGAGATGTCTGGGAGAAATGAAATACTATTTGATTCTGAATAAGACTGATGAGGAAAGGTGGGATCTTTTGAACATAGTATTGAAGGAAATAAAAGGGCATAGTACAAACTGGGATACTGAGATCAAACTAGTAACATTTTATAACTGACTTTCGAGATCTGAAAATCTGAGGGCAAGGTGCCGTGGGATTATGGCCTTAGTAGCTCACCTAATGAAGGGGATTCACATGCCCAGGAGCATCTCAAAAGGGTAGCCTCCAGCTGCCCTGTACATTTTAAACTTCCAAAAATGTGTCTGCTTGGAGAATCTATATTTATCTTATGACTCAGCAGCAGAAACAGGTGGCTGGGTCTTTTCATCCTCCTATCTTAAATCTTTTTCCAAATGTACATATCGTTATCTTATTTCTGATTATTAAAAGAATATAAGTCGTCTATGGAAAAATGGAAAAGAATAGGAAATTATCAGAACAAAAGTAAAAAACACAATCCCGATCACTACTTCCTTTCCTAATTTACCCCACTCCCCCCAATTTGGTTTCAAGAATTGAGCTGCAAAGGAAAAGGTGGCTATTAGTGACTGGGGAGAGAGTGGGTGGAGGGAAGACTGTTACCTTTCTGTTCTTGTAGCTTAGAAGAGGATGAGTAATCCTCTCTCTTCACCCAACCACTAACAAAGTAACAATGGTTAATACGGACTATGGGAAGATGCAACCATTCTCTGGTAATAAGAGAAAGGCAAATTCCAACCACATGGGAAAAAAGGCCACTTTTGACCTCTGAAATTAGCAATGACAAAAATGAGTGACAGGGCCTGGTGTGGTGGGGGGTGCGAGATTGGTAAGCCGTTCCACTTCTGCAGCACAGCTGGTGGGAGGGGAAAGTGGGGACCAGAGTTAGAGGATGACATAATCCTCACGTGACCAGGAGCTGACGTGAAGTCCTTATATTCCCGGGCTTCTTTCTCCTCTGGGTACCAGCTACTTACTGCCCTGAAGCGTTGTGCTTGTAGCCAGGAGAAGGAGGACATAAATTCCTTAAATTCCAGCAGGTTGGTATGATGGAAGCGCTGGGACCCCTGGGGTGGTAGTGGATGAATCTAGTGACTGGAATACGTCCAGGCTTACTTTCCCCAAACCCCTGCAAATTCGTCGGAGATAACTGTATTTTTGAAGGGGACGGGGGCTGGAGTAGGTGGAAGCCTTGTGAGAGACACCCAGAGATTGAGTGATACTTAGAGAAATAATTAGCTTCTCTCAGATTGGCAAGCTTTCCCTTTATCCTTCTCCTTCTCCAATTCTGTTGGAGGAAATGAGGTGTAGGCGGGTGTGTGGAGAACGGTTGGAATCCTGGGGTGGAGACAGAGAAATTTAGAGATAATCTGAAAATAGTTCATCTCATTTAATGCTTGCCTGCGAGGGATTGGGGGTGTGGGGAGGGAGAGAACAGTGGGCCTTGCAAGGACTAGGCCTGAGGGTGAGGGGTGGGGGACAGGGATCCAAGAAGTAGGGATAGGGACAGGGGGAACCAAGAGGTAGGAAATTTTGCGATATGACGATTATGAGGATCTCGGATTCAAGATAATAACGTATGTCTTGTCTCTGGGGCTGGTGGATCAACAGAGAACGCCCTCCTCCCCTCCCCCTTCTTTTCTATCTGCAGGTCCGAGGGTCTGTGTTCACAGACATTTGAAGGCAAAACAAAAGAGGAAGAAACTATCCTGAATCGTCACAGGTCAGTGTGAAGGAGGCACTTAGACTCCGGTCTCTGAGGGTGGGAGCTGGGAAGGACGAGCGCTGGGTAAAATTTGCGTCCTCGCAGCTCAACTCCCGATGTGCGCCCCTTCTCCCGCCCATCGAGAGGCCATTAGCTTCTGCTGGAGGAATGGTGGGTTGCAGAGGGAGGGGAAAGGAGGTGGAGAGAGGCGGGGAGGGAGTCAGAGGGGGAAGGGGCGGCATCTTGAACTTCTGAGGGCGGACCAGTGTAGCTGGGGTGGGAGATTAGTCAAGCATCTTGCTTCAAAGAGAAATTGACAATCTTGAATCAAAAGAAACGAAACAATCTTACTCAACATTTTCTTCGTGGACTTAAGCAGGAAACAACAACATCATGCAAAAACACTGCAAAGAAAATGAAGGAAAGCCCAAGTGCAGCGTGCCAAAGAGAGAGGAAGAACGCCCCTATGGAGAATTTGAACGCCAACAAACAGAAGGGAATTTTAGGCAAAGGCTGCTTCAGTCTCTCGAGGAATTTAAAGAGGACATAGACTATAGGCATTTTAAGGATGAAGAAATGACAAGAGAGGGAGATGAGATGGAAAGGTGTTTGGAAGAGATAAGGGGTCTGAGAAAGAAATTTAGGGCTCTGCATTCTAACCATAGGCATTCTCGAGACCGTCCTTATCCCATTTAATGCGTTTCTGCCGAATTCAGCTATTTTCTTTTATTAATATTGCCACCATTGGTTTCTTTTTGTCTGCATTTTCCTGCTAAATATTTGCTACCATTTTACTCCAAATCTTCAATGTTCCTTTAATTTACATATGATTCTTGTTACCAACATCTCATCTTTTGACTCAGCCTCATATGTAATAGGAATGCTTCATTCATTTCTATAGGAAGATGCTCATTGTATATTGTAAAGTGAAAATACATGGCAAAACGGGGTGTATATATATATATATATATATAATATATATATATATATATATACTCTCACACACACACCTTTTATGTACATTTATATGACATAATGTCAAAGAAAACATCTGAATTATTATACACCAAAAGGTTAACAGTGCATCTGTGTGATCTGTGTATTATTTCTTTATTTTTTTGACTATTTTCACCTTCTGATTTTCCAAAAAACAAATATAGTTGTGTGTGTATGTGTGTGTATTGCTTGTCTCACAAAGAAACTAAAATAAATCGGCACAATAAAAGAACTTCTCAATCATCTTTGAATGGGAGTGAAACACTTAATAAACTCTTGACAATAAAATTATAAAAAAGAAATGTAAACCTCAAATTACCTCTGGATCTCAAAGCCAGAGGAATAAACCTGGCAATTATTACAGATGCACTTGCTTAAGACTTGATCTTTTCGTGGGGAAAACATTTGCTTCACGGCCCTGCTGAGGGGAAGAACCAAGGTGACTGAGCTGTGCTTGCTGGGCTCTTGCTCCTGGCTGTGCATACTGAACCCCAACCCACTGTCGGACATCAGCTGTTTGAGGGAGGGCCCTGGCCTGACTCAGCCTGCTCAGGAACAAGTCCAACAGGCAGGGAGGTGGGGGCTTCCTTGTCAGTCCTCTGCTGTTGAGCCTCACCCCTGTCTCTTCCCCTGGGTCCTGCCATGCCTGCTGAGCACTGCTGCCTCTCCTGCTGGGTCCTTTGCTCTCTGCTGGCCCCCACTGTGGCTGGTGCACTGGAGTTCTCGAGTGCGAAAATGCACTGAGTTTCCTGGAGTCCCTAGTGGGTTGAATCCCCACTCTGTCTTCTAAAGGCTCTCTGCTGTTGTGTAACACTGAACACAGGTGGGGACTGTTGCAGGATTGCATGAGCCACAATGTTTTGCAGAGTTCTTAACAAAACGGCCCCTTCCGTTTTCAATCCCAGGACCCCTCCTCTCCATAGGAATCAGGGACGATGAATCCATTTTGGCAGTTGGACGGGGGTACAAGTTTGAGTGAAAGATGTCATTCTGTAGTCAGAGTTGCTGCTCTAAGCCTAAGGACTAAGGTCTTGTCTTTCTTCTCTTATGAGATGGTCTGTCCCAGAAGGCTCCTAGCAGGCCTCCCTTGCTGGTTCAGAAGACTCTCGAGGGACGTGTGCAAGTTGCACGGAGTGATGCAGAAGATAGAACTAAGGGAACAATCCTCTTCTCTCCATCTCTTCCCCTCCTGAAACATGTGTAAAAATTATTTGTAAGATTATTATATATATATGTACCAGATATTATATATAGAAATATATATGCATATATAGAAATATATGTATATATACTTTTTAGTGTATATATGTACATATAAGTACTATATATATATTTAGTGTACATAATGTATGTATATATATTTTCAGTCTTACAAAGGATATATATATATATATGCACACACACATACGTATATATACACTTAAGTGTTATTTCCTAATTGGACTTTTTGCATTTTGCATCTCAAAGTAAAGACTATGTCGTATACTTCATTATATTTCTGTTATTAGTGCTGTGACTTACATATACTGGGTACTTAATAAATATTTACTTAATTAGAATTCTAGTGTTCTTGGCCAAGTTTTACTTCTGATTGCATAAAATTGGCAATAATCTATTTCTCTAGAAACTATAACTAAGATTTTTTAAAGGAACCCAACAGGAAAGAGATTAATCCCCAAATTCAATCTATAAAATTATTATAACATTTTATAACTGATGTCTCTCCAAAAGTCAGCTCCTTACATTATAATCATCTGAAATGCTTATTAAAAATGCAAAATTCTGACACATATCTCTCCATACAAATTCATACTTTAACAAACACACTGAGTCAAAATCTCCATGCAGTTGGCCTTGGAATCTCCATTTTGGGCTTTCCGTGAAATCTTGGTCTCCATTACCGCTTCATAAACCCTCACCATAGACTTTATTTCAGCTGAGCAGTGAAGAAGGAATCTCCTTATAGTCAAAGAACCTAACGGTTTATAATTCATAATTAAGGGCTCCTGAAAGTCAAAATGGTGATTATCATAGCCTTAAAATTCAAAGTATCCACCAAGTACATCTATGTGGAGAATAAACATTATTCGGTCTTTGTAGGAGGCAAAAAGACAAATGAAAAATAAATAAAATAAAAACAACAAGTTGTTAACCACCTATAAAATAAGCAAATATTCCCTTTTATAATATTCAATTTTATTGAGGATGTAGGCATTCTCATGCTCAAGGAAAGAGTAAATTACTCCCTCATACTCAATGATAAAGTTTTAAAAAATCCATTTCTTTGCTACTATTCACAATTAGTACCAAAAGCTGTATATTGTGCATACTTCATGACCTAAGAATTCTACTGCTTGGAATTTATCCTAAGGAAGTAATCACAGTAGTAAGCAATTGTTTAGCTATGAGCATTTTTATTTAAGGATTTCACATATTTGTAAGGATTTTTTTTAATCCAAGAATCAAGTACATACACTATCCACTAAGAAGAAAATGAATATATATTCCTACTCACCACATGCACAAAAATATATCCCCAGTGGATTAAAGATGAAAATGTCGAAAACAAAAATAAAATATTGCAATGAAAATTAACTAAGAAAAAATTGTGTAATCTTGTAATGTGATTGTCTTCTTAAGCATGAAAGAAAATCCAGAAGTTATAAAGGAAAAGATATAAAAGGTCCAAAGACAAAAAATAGCCCTTGAGAAAATATTTACAATATCATGACAGATAATGGGAAAATATCTCAAATACCCCAATAGCTTTTACAAATGGAAAAGAAAAAGATAAACAAATCGGTAAAAATATGTGCATGTCACATGACCCAGCACTTCCACTTCTTTGTGTTACCGTAGAGATACAAGTACACACATGCACAGGAAAGCGTAGATGGATGTTTATTGCAGCATTGTTTCTAAGAACCAAAATATTAGGAATATCCTAAATCATCAAAAGGGAAAGATAAAATAAATTGTGGTATGTCTATAACAAGAAAACTACATGGTAGCTTAAAAGAATGAGATTCTTATACTGAAGCATCTTTGCAAATACTTTTAAGACATTATATATCTTTGTTACTATTGTCGCAAATAATGAATTACCTAGTCCATCTTAATATACTGCTTTAACTAAACCTCCAAGTTCAATCTCCTCCCCACAATTAAACATTTATTACGTTGATGGCTATCCATCTAGAAATTTATATATTTCTCTTTTGCGTTTTAACTAAATATTATAATATTACATTATGACTTTCAGGAGCCCTTAATTATGAATTATAAACCGTTAGGTTCTTTGATTACAAGGAGACTCCTTCTGCATAGCTTAGCTGAAGCAGAGTCTATGGTGAGTGTGCGTATTAACATAGCTTTATAATTGTTGTTTTATGCATTTGTCTTTTAAGTCACAGAGAAAAAGAACAGGAGTTATAAACCAAATATGCAAAACTACCTTCTTTATATTTACCTATGTAGCTACCTTTACCGTTGTTGTCTGCTTCTTCATATAACTTTGAGTTACTTAGCTTGTGTCTCTTTATTTCAGTTTGGAAGTCTTATAGGACTTTCCAGAGGTCAGTAAATACAAATGCAAATAAATCTACTTTTTATAGTATGAATGTACCTTACGTTTTTCAAACCATTCCCCTGTTAATTAACATTCAAATTATTTCTATGTTTTGCCCACTAAAAGCAATGCCACCAGCAATGAACATGCTTATATACATATTCAAATTACTGGAGCTTTTATTTCTGTAGAATAGATTCTAGAAAGTAAGATTGCTTAATCAAAAAGTATGTGTTCTCTTACATTTTACAGCCTCAGTTGTGCATATGTTGGGACCATCAAATGTAACGTAAGACACTTCTAAGGTTTATAAGCAATGCTGAGTGAGCTCTCCACTCTCTTTTCAGTAACCTTGGAAACCATGTGTGCCATCTGGAACACATGACTGTGAGATGAATGCAGGCTTGATACCCAAATAATCAATGGAACAGAGCAATGCAGAGGAGCCAGTAACTCTCATTGAGCTATGACATGAAGGAGAAATAAGCGATTTTAAAGCCACCAAGAAAGCCTAGTTCATCTTAATATATTGCTTTAACCACTCCTCCAATTTCAATCCTCTCCCTGCAATTAAACACTTATCAGTTTGATGAATATTTATCTAGAAATTTATATATTTCTGTTTTACCTTTTAACTAAATATTATAATATTACATCTACTATCTTACTGTTTTTACTTAACGATATTCCTAGAGATGCTTCAATATAAGAATCTCATTTTTTAAAACTACTGTGTAGTTTTCTTGGTATAGATAGACCACAGTTTATTTGACCTTTCCCTTTTGATGACTTAGGCTATTTCCAATATTTTGGCTCTTACAAACAATGTCTCAATAAACATCCATCTATGCTTTCTTGTGCACATGTGTACCTATATCTCTATGGTAATACAAAGCAGTGGAAGTGCTGGGTCACATGGTATGTATATACTTTTACTGGTTTGTTTATTTACCACAATGTATACCACAAACACATCCATCCCCTCCAAAGTCCTGATGAATATTGATGCAAAAATCCTCAACAAAATACTATTAAACTAAGTCAGCAGCATATTAAAGGGATTTTACATCATGATGATTCGGGGTTTATCCACAAAATGCAGGGGTGATCAACATAGGAAAATCAAACAATGTAATGTATATTACATTAATATAAGAAAGGGAAAAAATTATCATCTCAATTGATGCAGAAAAAAGCATTTGGCAAAATCCAACACCCTTTCATGAAAAAAACATTCAGCAAACTATACTATAAGAGGAATTGTCTCAATATGATAAAAGGCATTTCTAAAAAATTCAATGATAAATTATACTCAATGGTGAAAGATTGAAAGCTTTCCATGTAAGATCAGGAACAAGACAAGGATGCCTGCTTTCACCAATATTGTACTGGAAGTTCTAGCCAGAGAAATTAAGCAAGAAAAAAATTAATCGGATCCAAATTGGAAAGGAAGAAGTAAAATTATCTTTATTTGCAGATGGCATGATCTTAGGTACAGAAAATCCAAAAGAACATGCAAGAAGGCTCCTAGAGCTAATAAATGAACTTGGCAAAATTGCGGGAGACAAGACAAGCCATCCAAAATTGGTTGTATTTCTATACACTAGCAATGAGCAACCCAAAAATGAAATTAAGAAAACAATTCTATGTACAAAAGCACGCAAAAGAATAGAATACTTAAGAGTAAATTTTGGGGGCCGGCCCTGTACCCAAGTGGTTAAGTTCGCGCGCTCCGCTACAGCAGCCCAGGGTTTCGCTGGTATGGATCCTGGGCATGGACATGGCACCGCTCCTCAG